ACTTCCAGTAGCTCAGTCACCACATCCACCACTTCCAGTAGCTCAGTCACCACTTCCAGTAGCTCAGTCACCACTTCCAGTAGCTCAGTCACCACTTCCAGTAGCTCAGTCACCATTTCCAATCTGATTCTACTTTGGTGAAAATCCAAGGATGTTTTGGGTCGTATTGATACAGAAGCAAATAAAAATAAAATCCAGTTTAAACCCTTTAAGCTCCACTGCATGCACTTGTTTCCCAGCTCTGGTCTGGTCTGCCACCAGTCCCAGCCTTCAGCTTGTGATCAACCTGACTGATCCAATCCGTCACTCAAAACCATGAAAGCAGCAGAACCCATGACAGCAGCTGGGAATGATGAAGGTTGCTCTTAAGAGCCTCATTTTATTTATTTTACAAACAAACTCTTGTTTCCTGTCATGCTACTTTGATGGGAGCTTTTAAGAGCAACTTTTCTCCTGCAGAAGGTAAAAGTGGAGCAGCTCAACGTTCTGCTTCAGCTTCAGTGATCTGTGCCTTTGGTCAGCACAGGCCTGGCCCGTTTACAGGAGGACAAGAAGAACCTGAACACTGTCACCTTGTCTCTGTTCCTCAGGACTCTGTCACCCGCCAAGTCTCCCACCTCCTCCACAGGGTCCATCGCGTCCAGCAGGAGGTACCCGTACCCCATGCCCCCGCTGCCGGATGACCAGAGGAAAGCCAACAGGCAGAGCGCCAGGGTGAGTACCATCCAGAGGCACTGTTGGGGGTCCCTGAGGACCACTGGTTTATAGCACATAGATTCTAAAAACATTTCAGAATAAGAGTATCAAACCCTTTCAGTATAAAACTATAAAAAGCTCTCAAGTGCATATGTGTAGTAAAAATATATTTCATTTACTTTCATTTATTATTTATTCTCATGGGACCAGTGTTACATATAACAAATACACAACACTGTAACATTTATAGACTTAGTTTGCACTGTTCATCTCCAGCTGGGCTTNTTTGTTTTCTTTTATTTTCTTCAACATGTTGAATTTGTTTTTTCTTCTGTCTGCAGCTGTGGGAGACTTCAATCTAACAGTGGTCCCACCCAGTCTGCTGAAGCCTCTACAGACCCACACTTCTCCTCTTTTCTGTGAACGGAAAACACAAGAAATGAAACAAAATGGACTCTGAGTTACTGAAGAGAAAACATGACACCCCCCTCCCCCCCAACAGTGGACAGGAAGTGGAGCTTTGTTTACCTTCAAGGTTGTCTGAAGATGGTGAGGAGACACCATCAATTCATCAGGAGCTTCATGAACACAACGAACTTCCACTGTAACACACACACACACACACACACACACACACACACACACACACACACACACAC